CCGATTATCTTCTACGTCTCCGTAATTGCTGCCGGCGCTTATCTGCCCATCTCTGCCTGGCGTCCGGGACCAACTCCCTTAGCTCCTCCCCACTGCTCCAGGGCCTGACGTCAGGGACAAACTCCCTTTGGCTTTCACCGCTGCTCCACGCCTCAGGCGCCTCCTGGTGGCCAACCAGCCTCTCTGGTTCCTGCTCGGAGTCTGAACCCTGCCCAGGGTCCTCCACATCTTCCCGAGCCGACTCATAGGATCCCTGGCTATCGGATTCTGTCGGCAGCTCCAACGGCTCCTGCTGGGCCACAACAGCAACCTATCCTACCCTATAAGTATGTTGAGTAATGCTTAGTAAAAATTACATCTCATTACATGGTTTATTGCAGTATTTGATCCCAAAGTTGAAATACTAATATTAATAAAAGTTCTAATTTGTGTCCAAGAAAATTAGAAAATGCTAATTAGTTGCATTTTATTTTAGTTTTGTGATCAACTAGGTACTTGAAGAAGTTGACAAGAAAATTTTTTACATTATATCTCATGCTGGTTTGCACCACAAGGATAGACAATGTCTTTTTTTTTGGGGGGGGGGTGTTGTTCAGTTTAATTATTTTATCTGTTAAAAGCAAAGGAAACATTATGCCAACTTTATTTAGCTTGCTTTAGCCAAAGGGAGCAGCTGTGGGTCCATTAGAACTAAAGCCAGCCCTGGTAAACTCTTTTATGAGAGAGTGAAATATCTTGTAATCTTTACAGGATTTTTGTCACTTCTAAGGCAAAAAGTAGGTGGGAAATGTGTGTTATGTGTTTAAAAGCAAAACTTATGCTGAAGTACTACAAAGATAACATTCAAACGAGTGTGAAATTTAGAATTAATGTAAAGCATGTACGAAAAGATTGTCTTCAATGACGTCAGCATTTTCTTGTCATTAAAATATTTACAATGCATTCTTTACTCGTACATATTTAAAATAAAATTTTAGTAGATATTTGAAATGTGAGAATATTTATTTCTTTTCTCTTCCCTTACTTTTGCTTAGAGTTGCATGCAATATGATGTTGAAAAAAACTCAAAACCGGAAATATTATGGTACTATTAGAACTTTACTCCTTAACTGCGTAAAATTATTGGACAAAGGCAGGCATCCTCAGGTAAGAATTAAATCTGCATGCTCTTGTTTCCATATCAACTAGTGAAAACATTTTGTACAGACTGGTTAAAATTAAGTATATATTTGATCTCCAATTACAATGGAAGATTCTTCATGTTTATGCAACTTCACTGAATTCTAGATTGCACATAATGCCAAGCAGTGGTGGGTTTCAAACATTGTTCGAACCTACTCTGTGGGTGAGGCCTCCTTTGTGGGAGTGGCTTGCCTCCCATGTGACCGGGGNAGAGAGAGAAAACACATGGCCGGCAAGCCACTCCTACCAGGTCACATGGCCAGCAAGCCACTCCCACAAAGGAGGCCACACCCACAGAGTAGGTTTGAAATTTTTTTGAAACCCACCACTGATACAATGTCTCTCTTCATTTACACCAACATTAGGAGATAGTATTTTGTGCTATTAAGTTTGGGTTTGCCAATAGTGATCTTGTTAGCTTTCAGGCTTCCAATGAAGGGGAGTAATAGCAATAGCACTTAGACTTGTATACTGTTTCACAGTGCTTTACAGCCCTCTCTAAGCAGTTTACCGAGTCAGCATATTGCTCCCAACAATCTGGGTCCTCATTTTACTGACCTTGGAAATCCTCAGAAAGCTGAGTCAACCAAGAGCCAGTCAGGATCGAATTCCTGGCAGTCATCAGAATTAGCCTGCAATACTCTATTCTAACCACTGCACCACCCTGTCTCACACGTCTAATACCTTCATGTGCAATATGCACATAGCTGAACAGGAAGAAAGCTTCCAATTTTTCAGTTTTCTGTGGTTGAAAAACTTTGAGCCATAATAATGGTTAGGTAAACTGAAAGCAGAGCAAATCTTTTTCATTAACTTTATATTCTAAAATACGATAGAATTACCAACAATTCTGGCTTTTTATTCTTTGGACTTCTAATTTTATCAGACAAACTGATAGAAAACATTTTTCCTTTTAGCAAGTGGAAGTGATATAGTGAAGTTGTATGATCTCACTACCCTGTGTGAAGAAACAGAAGATAAATACCAAAACCCTTTCACAATGCCAGTAGCAATTCTTCTCTACAAGTAAGTTATTCTATATATCATGAGGATTCAAGTCTCTATAAAAGAAGGGTTCGGTCACCCTTCTTTTACATATGTACATTCAAGACCTTTACCGAAAGAAGACTGTTAATCCTCTAGGCAATTGTTTTGATGCAGCACTTAACTTTTTAAAAAGTAATTAAATGGAGTCTGGTATTGGTATTTTGTAGGAGGCAAAATGCAAGGAAAAAAGCAAAATATTTTGTTTGAGCAAATTGTTATATCATTATAATGATAACATACTAGGGGAGACATGGTAGCAGTGTTCCAATATCTCAGGGGTTGCCACAAAGAAGAGAGAGTCAAACTATTCTCCAAGGCACCTGACGGTAGAACTAAAAGCAATGGGTAGAAACTAATGAAGGAGAGAAGCAACTGAGAACTGAGGAGAAATTTCCTGACAGAACAGTTAATCAGTGGAACAGCTTGCCTCCAGAAGTTGTGAATGCCCCAACACTGCAAGTCTTTAAGAAGAGATTGGACAAAGATTTGTCTCTAATGATAT